GGGCCGGGCTCCGCGCCGCAGGATGCGCCTCCTGCCCGGCCTCTTCCTGCTGCTCGCGGCCGCGTCCCGAGCCGCCCAGGTGAGCGGGGCCGGGCGGGCGGGGACCCCTCGGCCACTGGGGTGGCTCCTGCCCCCGTGCCCGCTCCGGGCTGGGACTGGGCAGGGCCCAGGTCGCCAGCTGGACCCAGCGAGGGGCAGCGGCTGCGTCCGGGCGGGTCCCTGGCACTGGGCTTTGGCTGGGGTCAGGGGACAGGGGCTGTGCCATGGCAGCCCCCTGCGCCTGGCTGTCGAGAGCGGTGGGGAGGCTGCTTGGCCCCAGGGCTGGGGAGCCAGGACACCTGCTCGGGGTAGCTGTGGTCCAGAGTGGTTAGAGCGAGGGGGGCTGGGATTCTGGGGTCCTGCCCTCGCCCTCCCTGGCCGCTGAGGGTGCAGGCCCCCAGTCTGACCCATCCTGCCCACAAGGCCTGGGCACTTCCGCAGGGGAGAGGTCCCAGCTGGCCTGAGGCAGTCGGTTCTACTGCCCTGCAGGGCCTGGCCCCTGGGCTCCTGCCTGGCAACCCCCAGATTCTGCAGCTGAGGTTGAGCTGCCCCAGCCCCATTGCTGGGCTGGGGGACAAGTGGATGCTGCTTGCTGCTGGGGGCAGAGGAGCACAGGGCCACTGGGGCATCTCGGGACACAGGCAGGGCCATGATTTGTACTCTCGGTGTGATGGAGGGGGAGGGGGGCTTGGCTGTGCCCCTTGGTGCCCCTCAGTGCTGCAGGTCCTGCCAGGGCCCTCCTGAGCCCCATCTGCTGCCTGCTGTCCTGGCCATGCTCAGAGCTTGCTGTGGGGCCCGCATCTCCCGGCCCGGCCCCATGCAGCAATGGGTGCTAGGGCAAGGGGCAAGGTCCTGCTGGGTTCTGCTGTGGCTCTGGGCAACAGTGGGCCCTCCTGGCTGTCATGCTGCTCAAGTCTGGTGTTGGCTGGGCCAACCCAGTGGGGTGAGAAAGGTGATGGGGTCGTGGTTCAGGTCCCAGAGTCCAACAGGGCCCTGCAACCAGCTCTCCAGGCACCTGCCTTTGCACTCCCCAGGCCATCCAGGGCCTCCATAGTGCAGCCCCCTGGGCTCAGACTTGGGAACAGGCTCCTGTGTGGGAGAGAGAGTGCAAGGGGGCCTGGCAGCTCCTTGGGGATCCCTAGGCTGGGAGCCATGTCAGGGTGCAGCAGGAGGTCGGGGGGGAGCGGTAGGTGATGGAGGTGGCAGCAGGGCTTTGTCCAGCACCAAGCTCTACTGAAGGCTCCATCCCAGCCCAGCATTACTCACAATTAGCAGAGCAGCTTTCTATGAGACAGCTCTGCCTGATGAATATGTATGAGGCGCTCCAGAAAGGGAGCGCTCCTGGAAGGCAACAGTGGCTGGTGTGTGGGTGCAAGGTGTGTACAGGTACAAGGCATGTGCAGGATGGGTGTGATGAGCCACTGTGCTGCCCTAGTGTTTTACAGTGACCGGACATGGGGCAGTGCAGGGCTAGTCATGGCCCTGGGGCTGGGTGGGTAGGAGCCTGCTATATCCCTGGCACCAGGGGCAGCATTCTGAGACTGGACCTGGGTCCTGTCACCACGCAAAGCTCCCAGGCTGTGGGGCCAGCTGGGCTGGAGCAAGTTCAGGGCCCCAGGGGCAGCCTGCTCCCCTTCCCCCTCCCATCGGGTCCATAGCAGGGAAAGGTGATGACACCTGAGTCCCTGGCTGGAAGGAGGGCTGGCTCAGTAGGTGCAGCCTGCAACATATGTGTATCAGGGCAAGGGGCATGAGTTTCAGCTCTCTTGGCTGTGCAAGATGGTCTGCATGGCATGCAGGATGCCTCAGGATCATGCAGGATCCCTCCTGGACTCTGACCCAGCCCCTCCCCTCCCCTCTCTAGGACCAGGCCTGGCTTTCAGGGCTGTGCACACAAGCTTGTGTGGTGCTGTGTCTGCCTGGGTGAATGTGTTTGGTGTGCATGGTGGTTGCATGCACTGGCATGTGTATGCCATGTGAGCATGCATACACCTGCTCTCTCTCATGATTTCTCATGATGCTCTGTTCCTGTGCTTCTGTCAGCCTGATGAATCTTGGGGGTAGGATGGGGGTGATCCATGATCTGCACAAATGTGTTGGCCCCCAGATGGTGCCCACCTGTGCTGTGACCCTGCAGAGCTGCTGTTCTCAGTGAAGGTGAAGGGCCTGGTCTGGGACCAGCTCCCTGCTCTGGCTTGGAGCCCTGGAACCTGGAACAGGGGTGAGGCTAACATGGTCTGGAGTCACTGTGCAACTCCCAGGAGACAGGCTTGGGTGCAGAGAACTCGGAGGCCCCGGGGTAGCTGCAGTATCAGCCCAGGGGCCCATCTGCCCTGGTGTCAGGCCTCCAGCCAGGCATCTGAAGCTACTTCAGAGCAGGGGCCCCAAGGCCTGCAGAAGTAGTCCTGGGCTCAGGGTGGGACAGGGCACAGAGTGGTGTGTGCTACCATGGGGACATTTCTGCTGCCCCAGGTCACAAATGCATCTGCTGCATGCATGCATGCACACACATTTGCCTGCATGTGCATGCCTGACCAGGCCCTTCCCACACCACCAGGCCTTCTGGCACCCCCAGGGAGCCACTGCCTCCCTTCTGGCTCTGGTTATGATGGAGTCTCATTCCCCAGCACCGACCAAGTGCCAGAAAAGGAGCCCGAATTAAGAGCAATTTGTATGCAGTGATTACATTGGGAATCTGGCTGGAATAAAGAGGTGGAAGGTGGGCAAGGTGGTGGTGGTGGGGGGGGTGGCTGTGGGAATAGGCCTTGCTGGGGGCTCTGGGCTGGACATGGCAGGGTTCAGTCTCCGTCTGTCATCTTGTCATGTGCACACAGCCAAGTGCCCCCCAGTTCTGTGTGCAACATACCTGTTCTGCCTGCAAATTCTGCCTGGACATGTGTGTCCAGTCTGTGTACCTGTGGCCTGTGCTGCTTGTAAATTGTGCCCATGTGTGTCTGCAACATATATGGCACATACCCTTCCTGACCAGGGTGCCATGCTCATGGCCTGTGCACATGCGCCATATGTGGCACATGCCTTCCTCTGCCAGGGTGCTGTGCTCACAGCCTCTGTGTGTGCTCATACGTGACACATGCCTTCCTTTGCCAGGACACTGTGCTTATGGCCTGTGTGTATGCTCATATGTAGCACATGCCTTTCCAGCTGGACGCTGTGCTCACGGCCTGTGCTGCTTGTAGATTGTGCCCGTTTGTGCCCATGTCATACATGGCACACACCTTCCCGGCCAGGTGCTGTGCTCACAGCCTATGTATGTGCGTCATACGTAGTACGTGCCTTCCCTGCCCAGGGCGCTGGGGCTAGGACGCCTGGGTTCCGCCGCTACTGGGCTGTAGGAGAAGGTCTAGACTCGTAGGGCGCTAGTTCGTGGCCGGGCCAGGGCGGGCTCCGCAAGTCCTCGGCCCCTGCCCCGTGGCTCTGCCTCTCCCCGGGTGGCAGGATCCGCGCGTGGGGCCTGCAGTGCCTGCTCGTGCCCACAAGGTGGCGCTGCAGGACCGCAGCTCCGCGCCTCACGCGTGTTGGGGCGCTACTGGGGGGAGGCGCTGCCCTGGGGCGTCCGGGCTCGATCTTGAGAGTGGGGTGGAGGGGGGAGGCTGGGCCCTGCGCCGGCTACGGGGCCCTGCGAGGTCGGCCCGGCGGGGGCCCTGTGCGCAGCGGCCGGAGCTCTCCAGGGTGCTGGCCCCGCGCCGCCCGGACTCCTGGGCTCTCTCGGGCGGGCGAAGGGGCTGCCTCACGCGGCCACCAGGGAGCGCTGCCCCCGCCTCGGGCCCGACCTGCGGCCCGGGGGGGG